CTTTGCGAAATGTCGTTCTCCTTTAATTTAAATATTTTTAAATTAGAGTTCACGTTGGATAAAATAATAATTTAAATATTTTTCTAATATATAAGAATGATCATTTAATTTTTTTTCTAATATCTGGGATATTAAAGTCAACTATACTTCTGATTATTAAAATTTTTCATAGTTGAATTATGTAGAGAATCTTTATATTTAGGATTCTAAAAGCAATTAAATTTTATTTTACATAAGTTTCCTTATTTCAAGCACATTAATATTAAAGTTGTAGTAAACTATAATTTTTTTTTATCATTCAAAACTTGGAAATTAAGTACTCATATTTGCACTACATTTTTTCAGTAGATTAGCACTACTTTAAGCTACTAAAAATAGGTAAACATAAGTTATATATGACACAAAAGTAGAATACTCATTGTATTTGGCAAAATTAAAAGTAACATCGAATTATTGGGTTCAAAAGGAAAAAAAATTAAAAGAATAAGCAAGAATATCCCTATTAAAGGGCGTTATAAACGTTACCAATTTTCAATGATACCAAGGTTTAGTCTCTTCGGTTAAAGATTTATTATTGTTTTAAGAGTGATTTTTTGTGTCTTTTACCTTGTTTGTCTTTCATTGTTGATTGTTGCTTTAACTTGAAAAGAGTCTTGCTTTGAATTCTCTTTTATGTTCTTTTAAATTTGACATACTCTTTTATTGCTTATTAGTGTTTTTGCTTTTATTTACCATCTTCTTTTATGTTCTTAACTTGGTATTGTCTAACCTTTATATTTTCTTTCTCCAAGTTTTAGGTTGTCGATTCTATATCTTAGAAGCTTTTGGATTTTTTAAAACTAACACAACAAAGTATATCGAGTATATTGAGGTAACTTATTATTTATTTTATTCCTCACCAAACGAGATATGAGTTACGCCTTAGCATGTGAGTCCTTTAATCTTTTTTATTTTTTTTATTTTATAGAATAGTATTGTAACATGGCAGTTTTTTTTCCGTTTAGTTTGTTGTTACTTTTGTTTTTGATGCTTTTATAGGATTTTGAAAAAATTATTTTCCGCTTAAGTCTTATTTTTTTCACCATCCAATTCATTTTTTTAGGATAAAAGATTATGTCGATTAATACTTTGGGTTAAAAGATGATTTACGTTTGAGTAAATATCTAAATATTAACATAGTCATATTATTTTATATTTGTATACTGACATCAGTATTACACAATAATTCATATTATTTTATTGATACACGCAAAGTTCACGTGCAATGCACGTACACTAGATATATATATATATATATATATATTAAGCACGAAGGCACTTAACGAAATGTCGTTCGTCTTTTTTACCCTTTAAAAATAGAGTTTACACTGGATAGAAAAATCATTTAACTTTATTTAAAAAAATATTTTGGACTTTCAAATCAGCTAATTTTTTGTTTTTAAAAGTTTTCCTTATTTGAACTAATTATGAAGTCGTCACAATTAATTTGCTTTAAAACTTTCCTTATTTAATTAACTATGAAGCCATCAGAATTAATTTACTTTGCAATTGTATTTGTATTTGGTTGGTTTAGTCCGTATCTATTAATTCCTGACATGTTATATTATTTATTATTTAGGTTTCCTTTATAACAAATACTACAGTCATCATGAAATCTAACTAAAAATCTGACAATAAAAAAATTTAGGTTTAAAAATTCTTTTGAAAATCAAAAGAGTGTAGTAGGGTACCTTTTTATTCTAAGACTTGGAATTTTTCTAAATTTACGTTCCTCCTATTCTCAATTATCCATGGACGCTTTCTTTTAGCTTCTTTGTTGTTTAAGCACTTCAGTGCAATTATCAACTCATTACATGAATCCATTTAAAGAAGTTTGCCAACAAGAAGCCACTAAATTCATAATTTCCATTGTTAGCGTTTGCAACAATGAAGAAAGAGGGAAAGAAGGCATTGTGCTGCTACCGAATTCACTATGATTAATTTCTCGAAAAGGCATTTATGTTAATTTTTCCTTCCTTTTTTCCCTTGAATATGTCTTCTTCCAATATACCGTGAGATTATTAGACGCAACATGTGAAAAGACAATGGCTTAGAAATTTATGAGATTAGGCACTTTTGCTTTTATTATCTTCAAGTTTCTTTCAACTTCATATTTCTCTTCCTCTTATTGCACTTATTTGCATCATCTAAATGAACATGTATGTACAAGTTGATAAAAGTATTTAAATATAGTTCAAAAGTATTTTGTTTCACAAACGATTTGTTCGCTCGAACTTAATGATTCGGCCTTTCAACTTTTTGTATAGAATTTGATTAGCTTAGTTAGATTTAATTTTTATTTGTGGAATATTTTAACTTCACTTGCAGATATTGTTAATCTTCTACTTGCAAACTGTAGGATATTATAAATTTGTGTGCAATCCCAAAATGTTTCGCTCTTAATTTAATATCACTATTTAAATCTAAGTTCTTTATATTTTAGTTATTCATGGTAGAATACTGGTTCAACATTAGTCTATTTTGATAACCCGCAAATGAGAGACCAGCCCAAAGGTTACATTCGATCTGCTTCTTTTGAGGGATTGCACAAACAGCCATTCTCAAGGCGTTATTTAACAATTAGCCACTACTTATTCGATCAGGTTCCAGCAATGTAGTCCATTAAGCCCAATTTATTTAGTGGAGTTAAACTATAATAATAGAAGTAAGGATGGACCAAACTACAAAATCAGAAACTTGGCCTATCATCTCCGATCGTTACAGATTTTGATGTGATTGCCACTTTCTTTTGCGGTTAATAAAGAGTATAAATACTTTTTTAGAGATGTCAAACAACATTATCCTAAAATTTTGATGTGCACTTCTGCCCACCCTAATGGTTTGACTGAACTTCATTAGGCTAATTCGTAAAAGAAATCATGCTTTCCAGAAAATGATAATCCAATTACATGCTCTCCAACCAACCACTAATTTTTTTTAAGGAATAAGTCATTTTGTCCGAAGCATACTTATTTTGTCCGAAGTATACTGTTCATCATACCGGAAACTATGGACCCGTTTGAATATAGATTTCCAAATATTTTTTGAAAAAGCTGATTTTGATGAAGTTTGATGTGAAATTGAAAATGTATTTGAACATTAATTTTGAAATATTTTTCACATGTTAAAAAGTCCCTTTTCAGCTAAAAAGTCTCAAATAGTCATGATTGGGCCCAAAAAGAGGTCTTAAACTTTATTTGGGATTCTAAATTTTGATTTTCAAAATCTCCCAAAAATTAGATTAATTCTATAAATAAACACATTTTAAAAAAAAAACTTCCAAAAACTTATGTCCAAATACCTACTATAAAGAAAGTAAAATGAAATACAGTTGAGGTATTCGAATTGGTGTTGATGCTGCTTTAACTGTTTGTGTGCAATTTTTGCGTATGAAAATCTCTAGAGATAACATTGAGATATTTCTCATAAGGGTTAATTTTCGAGGAAAACGACGTCATTGCACGCCGCACGGTATCGCAATGGAATATTCTGGTGTACAGAGCAACCATAATTACGTCTCCACAAACTTTCAGAATAATAATAAAATAAAGCACATCCTTTTTTTCACTTAAATTGGTTAAGCATCTTCATTGGGCGGTTTAATGCCGCCAACTATTGATTAATTGTTTAATTAACTGATTAATTAATTCTCATTGGACGAATATATTACTGTGACCCTAGAATGTGCCAAAGGCCGTTCTCTACTTCTGATCTTAATTATTTTTTATTTTTTTTTGCTGATGTTGTTTGGCATGCTTTTTCTCAGTTTACATCATGAATTTTGTCTAATTCACCAACAAGAGTAGATAATTATCGATTTAAATTAGAGAAAATTGTGGAACTCTTTCTATCCTACTTTACGTGAAAGTCATAGTCTTCTTTTGATTATGATTTTGTCGAACAATTTATAAATAGATTAATAGGTACAGATCTCTCTACAATTTCACTTCCTGATAAGGAAAAGGTTTATTTATCTTATGACGAAATGGATTATATGACTCATTTATTTTAGATAAAATTAATCGAACCGATATTGAGTCAAACAACATTTGACGGGTTTAGTATGGCCTATTCATTGATTCCTCTAATTTTAACCCAATCCAAATTTGATTAATAAATCAATTTGACATCTGAAGTCTAAATTTATGGAGTATAAAGATGGTCAGAAACGTGAAGCCTGCGCAGTACAATTAGAAGTAGTGTTAGATTGCAGAATTGAGACGAAGGATGGAAGAACAAAGATGAACAACAAAGAGAGAGAAAGGAAGCTTCTCGATATTTTTTCATTTATTATTAAAACTGTACAGTACACATGTATATATCTAATAATTTGTCAGTTGTCAATTAACTAATTATGTCTAACTCTAGTTAACTAATAACAACCTACTAACTATAATTCACTTAAGAAATCCCACATAATGTCTCATTATCCCCCTCAAGCTAGGGGGCATGAAGATGTTCTTTATGCCGAGCTTGGATAACAAATGAGTATGCTGAGGTCTCCCAAGACCCTTAGTGAGAAGGTCTGCTTGTTGATCAACAGTGGCAAGATACAGAGTACTAATGAGGCCATTTTGCACCTTTTTCCGGATGAAGTGGCAATCAATGTCGATGTGTTTGGTGTGCTAGTGAAAGATAGGATTAGCAACTATCTGAATAACAGATTTACTGTCACTGAATATGGGAACAAGCAAGGAGATAGTGACCCCTAACTCCTTGAATAACCCAAGAAGCCAAACCAATTCAGCCACTGTGGAAGCTAGACTTCTGTATTCGGCTTCTGCAGAGCTCCTAGAAATGGTGGCCTACTTCTTGAACTTCCAAGAAATCAGGGAAGAGCCAAACTTGACCAAATAACATGTGACTGACCTCCTAGTATTAGGACATGAGGCCCAATCAGCATCACAAAATACAATGAGAGACTCAGAACAAACAACTGACAATAAGACCCCTAGACCAGGACAAGACATAACATATTTGACGTGCAACCTCCCAGTGAGAAGTTTTTGGAGAATGCATTAACTGACTGAGATAATGGACAACAAATGAAATATCAGGTCGAGTGATAGTGAGGTACAATAAATGCCCAAGTAATCTCTGATAAGGTCCTGGATCATCTAAGGCCTTGTCCTTAATAGGACCAACATGAGTGTCAAATTCAACAGTAGTGAGCTTGACATTCAACTCCATGGGTGTGACAATAGGCTTAGAACTAGAAAAACCTAAATCAACAATTAGCTCCAAGGCATACTTCCTCTGGTGCATGAGGATCCCTTCACCACTCTTGGAAAATTCAATGCCTAAAAAATATTTGAGTTTCCCCAAATCCTTGATTCTAAAAGAGGATTGTAGGACATCCTTAGTCTCTTGTATTAACTAAAAGTCATAACCTGTGATGAACAAATCATCAACATAAACCAAGACTACAACTATCTTCCTTGCCATTTTCTTAGTGAAAAGGGAGTAATCTAGATGACTTTTGTTAAAAGCCAGGAGAAACTAGAGCAGTGATCAACTTAATGTTCCGCTGTCGTGAAGCCTGCTTTAGTCCATAAAGTGACTTGAGCAGTTTGTAAACCACTGATTTATCTGAAAAGCCAGAGAAGCCTTGAGGCACAGTCATGTACACTTCCTCAAAAAGATCCCCTTGTAAAAATGCATTGTAAACATCTATCTGCTGCATAGTCCAATGCTTAGATACTGCTAGGGATAGAACACTGTTGACAGTGACCATCTTAACTACAGGTGAGAAGGTTTCTTGATAATCCAGTCTTTCCTTCTGATTATAACCCTTGGCAATAAGGCGAGCTTTAAATATCTCCACTTCACCATTTGCCTTATATTTGATCTTGTAAACCCATTTGCAACATATGGCCTTCTTGCCCTTGGGCAAAGGAACAAGATCCCATATTTTATTGTCCTCCAAAACTTGAATTTCTGTCTGTATTGCCTCCACCCACCTCTTGTCCTTAGCAACTTTATGGTAGGATTGTAGCTCCTCTGCAATAGTGAAATTTGAAAGATAACTCTGATATTTGGAAGACAATCTTTCATAATTGAGAACATCTGATAAAGGATATTGGCAGCAGCTAACTTGGCTGCCCTTATCAGGTCTAACATAGTCCTTGAGCCATATGGATGGCCTTGAAACTCTAGTAGATTTCCTGATATCCTCATGTGTGGGAGAGGAATCTGTAGCAACAGGTGTTCCAATGTCATAAGAAAGCTCTATGGAGGATGATTCTTCAGTGTGGGAGGAAGGAGCATCATGAACTTCATGCTCAAGTGGTCGACATGTAACAGGAGCAACAGGTTGAACATCAGTAATTGAAGCTCCTGGTGTAGAGATTTGTTGCACCATTTGCTCTGATGTGGAGACACTGCTGGTGGAAAATAGACTATCAGCTACATTAGGTGATGAAGTAGCATGATCCTCCATGAGAATATTGTCAGAGTCAGTTGAGAGATTTTGGAGAGGAAATGCATCTTCGTGAAAAATTACATCCCTGCTGATGAACAATTCAACAGTTTCCAGATTCAACATTTGATAACCCTTTTGATGAGGAGCATAACCAAGTAAAACAGACCTCACTGCTCTAAGAAGAAACTTATCTGATCTGGGCAGGTAAGTAGCAAAACACAAACATCCAATGACTCTCATGTGAGATAAAGAAGGTGGCTTATTGTAAAGCATCTCATAGAGTGACTTGTATCCAAGTGCAGAAGAAGGAACTCTGTTGACTATATAAACTGTTGTCTCCACACAATGTCCCCAATATTGGATTGGTATATGCCCCTGAAATTCGATAGCTCTGGTTGTTTCCAAAATGTGTCGATGCCTCCCTTCCATCAGTCCATATTGCTGAGGAGCGTATGGGCAAGAGCTTTGATGTACTATTCCATTGGATTGAAATAGATCCTTACAATTATTGTTAAAAAATTCACTCCCATTGTCTAACCTAACAACTTTAACTGTGTTTCAAAATTATGTCTTAACCATAATCAAGAAATTTTATAGCAAGAAAACAACATCATATTTAAGCCTCATTAAGAACACCCAATTCCACCTTGTACAATCATCAATCAAAGTAAAGAAATATTTCATCCCATTGTGAGTAGGAACTCTGTAGGGACCCCAGACATCCATATGAATCAAGTGAAAACTATCTACGCTCCTATTGTGACTTATTGGAAATGATATCCTAGTTTGTCTAGCTAATGGACAAACTACACATTTATTCAATTGTGGACTTGTACAACTCTTTAGACTATCAATTCTCTTCAGTATCTGCATAGGTACATGTTGATACCCAATTTTTCCCTCATATTTTATATATATATATATATATATATATACACACTTTTAAAATAGTACATATGCACCATCATTTGATCCACAAGCATATACAAGCATTTTTCATAATTTTCTATGAGTTTTTAAAGGCTTTAAATCAATTTATTCCTACATTTTATTATATAAATATATATTAATTACCTTATAAATTATTTTTATGATTATTTTATCATCCACACTTTTCATTTACACCCATATTAGGTTTAAATATTTTATTTACATTTTATTATAATTATATTTGCATTTTTAGGCTAAATTGTATATTTTACAATAATAGCCCATATGTACTTATAATTACTTTATTTATGCAAATAATAACTTTTATATTTTTTATAATGTTAAACAATTATTTTTAATCATTTGCATGCACAAATAATATATTTTGTTATTTATCTATTATTTGTATAAATTATTATTTATTAAAATCCGGTATTTAAAATCTGGCCCTAATTCTATAACTAATTCGGACCTAAAACTACCCAAACCAGCCCAAGCCCAATACCCCTAACCCAATTACCCTTACCCATTCATTAAACCCAACCCCAATCTGCCTAAATCCTGGCCGTTGATCAAAAATGATCAACGGACCACAACTAACGACCTCCTTCCTTTATATCCCTCATCTCTACCCTAATCCTGTCTTTTCTAAAAACCGCCGCCCTCATTTTCCCTCCCCTGTTGAACCCTAACGCCGCCGCCTCACCCATATCCCCCCGAATCTCGGTCCTAATAGGATTCTTTCCCTATTCCCTTACCATTTTAGTGTTTACCTTTATTGGGTGCTAAATTTCAGAATAACATAGGTACTTGCCTAATCACGGCAAGTACCCCGCTGTGATTCCGTCCAAATCTATATTTACTTCTTGAATCTGGACAACCTCGAGTCCAAGTACGTTATTTGTAATGATTCTCTCATATCTCGCTTGGTTCGCACTAAGCCCTAAAGGTTAGGGTTCCAGATCTTCTTTGATTTGAACCAGATCTGGTTCAAACTCTGTTTTTTTAAATATTTCTTCGTCTATATTTGCTCTATTACTTATGGGTCTGTTGATTTTTGTCGATTTTGTGACTTACCTAATTTAGGGTTTCAAACCCCTTTTACTTGAGCCAAATCTGGTTCGATTATAAGTTTCTTTTTTTAAGTTCCTATATATGTTTATTTTGTGCTAATATGTGTTCTTTTCCTTTATTCTTGCTGATTTTGTATTTTACTCAAAATTAGGGTTTCAGTCCCTTTTTATTCGAACTAATCTGGTTCAATTTCATGTCTCTTTTGAATAATCCATGTCTACGTTCATTTGTATGTGTTAATACATGATTCTTTGCCATTATTCTCTGCTAATTTCGGGCTTTACCTAATTTATGGCTTCCAACCCTTTTTACTTAAACCAAATCTGGTTCGATTCAATATTCCCTTTTTTATAATAATCTCTTGTCTGCCTTATGTGATTCTTTTCCTTATTTCCTACTGATTTTGTGTATTTCTACCTAAAATTTTGGGTTCAACTCTACTGATTTAAACACTGACCTCGGTATTTAAGTGGGCAATTCTTTTAAGGCTAAGGGAGGCAGTACTATTCGAACCCCTCCCACTTCCCTCTGAAAAAAAGAGATTTTAGAGTTCGAAATTTCTCACTAATATAAACAAAATCTTTCACTCCTATTATCTCTAGCAATATTATTCTGTGCTTTTGATTCATGGCCGGCTGGAAGCCAAGGCCAGAAATCCTCAACTGTTTAGCTTCTCTTGATGACAATTGCTACATTGTTGGATTCCTTTCTCCCTGTTTCACCTTAACTAGTGAGTTATTGAATCCTTTGCTATTCCGTTATGATTATTTGTTTAATGTGTTGCTGCCATTAAACCATGTTACCCTAAATACTATTACTTATAGTTAAGACGTGTTGAACTTAATTGAATCGATTAGTGAAATCTGCCTAACTCTATGTTATTTAGGGCTGTCTTTTAGAGTAAAAAATATTTTCATACCCCTTCTTAAGGACTGTTTAATTGTGTGTGCCTTAACAGATTCATCAGTTTATTTATTGAACCTGTCACCATGTGACTTGTTTGGTTATGTGCTCACTATGTTATGATACCTGTGCTAAATTATTTAATCAGTTTCTAATACTAATTAGTGTGTTCCTGACCTACTGTTAATTAATGAGCTTTCTTTCTGTGACTTAGTCTGTTCTGCAGTCTTTGTTATCACTGTGAACATGTTTATGAACTGGTCTTATTAGCATGTGACTGTGTTAACTTCTAAAAACTGGATTAAGTCTGTCTAGGTTCAAATGTGTTGCTATTTGTTTGTGTTCTATGTGTGATTCTGCACGCCCTAATCCCATCCTACTCTCCTGAATTCTCACTCTTTGCTGGCTGAAAGCCAAAGCAATTTAGGTTCTGTCCCTTGGCCTCCCTAGTGTGAGCGCTGCTCAGGGTTCATATGAGACCCTCGTGAACTCTGACACACTAGGATTTGGTCCCTAGTCTTCTTTGAACTGTTCTGATCATTCTTCTCTAGTGTGAGCACTGCCTTAGGTTCTTGAAGCCCTTGAGAACTCTGACACACTAGTGATTTGGGTTATGTATGCTTATCCTTGAGATATGGGTGAATCATTCACTGCTGGTTATGGTGTATCTATGAACATAGGCTTTTGGAGCCACTATGAGTTGAAGGCCTGGCCTGTCCAGGTGCATTTGGGCCTGCTGCAGGTTTCCTAATGTTTTATATACTTTGTAATTCATTCATTAAATTCGGGTCTGTAATAATTATTTGTAATAACAATTGGGGTATTAGTAAATTGGAAAACTGGGTTTATTTTAACATTTGCATGAGAATGGGTAGAAATTCTGCCTATAGGTGTTTACTTTGCTCATTCTGCTATTGTGCTTGATAACCTACCTATAGGTGTTTACTTTTCTCATTCTGCTATTGTATGTTAGATAATCTGCCTATAGGCGTTTACTTTATTCAAATACATTCTGCTATTGTATTTTAGATAACCTGCCTATTGGTGTTTATTTGCTCGAATAAGCTCTGTGGATAACCTGCCTATTCTGCTTTTTAGATACCATGCCTATATGGAA